GGATCACTGTATTTAACTTTTTCAAAACATATCTTGTGCGATAGGAACGATAAACAGCAACTATTTCTCATATCAACGAGACAAAATATTAATTACTTATTTCAACAGAATATATATATATGTATATAAGATAAAATAAGGTTTGCAGTTGCAGTACCGTTACTACCTGTTCCTTGGAACATCTCTCGTTCTTTCCATCTCCTTTTGCTTCATCATCACGCTCTTGACGAGGCTCAAAAAAGATGAATAAGTATGATCCAGCGCCTATGGGCGATTCACCGTTTCACGCTTTTTCCCCTTCGTCCACCCTCTTACTTTTATACCTCGCTTTGACGCCTCGTGAAGTCTCAGGGTTGTTAACCCTCGCAATGAAATTGTCGAAAATTTCGCGTTGGAATGGAGATTTCACTCCGGGCAACTTTCATGTCTCTCTCTCTCTCTCTCTCTCTCTCTCTCTCTCTCTCTCTCTCTCTCTTTCTCTCTCTCTTTCTCTCTCTCTCGAAAATTATAGGCTTCCTCTCTAATTACTCGATCTCGCTTGAATTCGTTCAGCAAACTTTCGATGTGACCGATCAGAAGGAACATTTTATCTCGACAATCTTCTCAAAACTTTCTTTCATTCGATGGACCAATGTGCATAAATATCATAATAATATTATCTATTTTTATAGGCAAAAAATGCAAAATTTATAATGAAAAAATTATGATCTATCAAATCGAGAACAATAATTTCAATCAAACGTTGGTTAATATAATAAAAATAATTTTACTTTCTTATAAATATTTATAATAATTTTGACTAAATAGTTGGTTACATTATTATGTTTAATAATACTAAATATTTAAAAAAGTAAAATCATTTTTTACTATATCAACCGAACATTTGATTAAAATAATTTTACTCAACATTTGATAACTATTACCAGAATTTTTTTCTGTATACGTGTATATTTCATAGAATTTCGAATTCATGCATCCTAAACTTTTTTATATTATTACACAAGTTCTAGTTTCTCGTTGGAAAATAAATATATTTCTCTCACAATTCGTTATT